AAATAAACGATACTGCCTCTGTTTATAGCTCAATGATCTCTGTTTGTGCTGAGCCCATCACGTGACTCTGTTAGGAACTTGAAAAAGGGAAACTAGGAGGTGCAGCTTGTGGGACGCCCAGCAGCTGGGAAGCTGCAGGCAATGGGCCCGGCAAGCCCAGAGTGGAGCTAGTAGGGGACTAGGACAGGACAGCAGACAGAGGACGGCTGGCTGGCGGGAAATCAGAGGGGAGGAGACATGGGCACCTGTCTCTCTCTCCTGCTGACTCTCCACCTTCTTCTGTGCTCCCAGGAGGCCTCACTCTGCTGTGGTAGGTTCCACCCTTGGATTTTGAGCTTCTCCTTCTAGATTTACCAATACAAAAACAAAAAGCCTATCTTGCTTCAGCTAGCTTGAGTGGGTCTCAGTGCCTTAGACAGCATTGCTCCTCTTTTTGCAAAGCAACGGGAGACCGTGTGGTATATAAAGACAATGTGGAATGGAGGGGTAGGGGACAGCCAAAGAATTTATTGTCCAAACCAGAAATCTTTTGGAGAAAAGAGGGTGCCAGTAATTCCACCAGAACAGCAGGTAACATACACCAGGCAGGGCTGTCCCAGGCAAGTCCCGTCTGATCACCTCGAGATGGGAAAAGCGGATCCGGTGTCAGGAGACCCAGTGGGCTTGCCTGCCTCTTCCCACTGCTCCATTCGGCCCTAGACAAGTCACTTACTCTCCAGGGCCTCAGTTTCCTGGACTGTAACATACAGATTTACGTCATCGCTAAGGTTTTTTCTGATTAAGAAAAATCTTAGACCAAAATTCTAAGTCTTCTTAACTTTGAATAGAGGCAACTCAGGCGACGAGGCCCATACACGAGACGGAGCCCTTTAAGGGTATATGTGGTTGATCGTATTTACGTAAACTGCAATGACTATGTGTCACTGATTTGACTTTAAAAAAGATGATTCCACATATTCACCATCAAAATTATTTGGTTAAGTGATTATATTTTCTTTCTTTCTCTGTTGCCCGGGCTAGAGTGCCGTGGCATCAGCCTCGCTCACAGCAACCTCAAACTCCTGGGCTCAAGTGATCCTCCTGCCTCAGCCTCCCGAGGAGCTGGGACTACAGGCATGCGCCACCATGCCTGGCTAATTTTTTCTATATATTTTTGGTTGGCCAATTAATTCCTTTCTATTTTTAGTAGAGATGGGTCTCTCTTGCTCAGGCTGGTCTCGAACTCCTGAGCTCAAACGATCCTCCCGCCTCGGCCTCCCAGAGTGCTGGGATTACAGGCGTGAGCCACCGCGCCCAGCCGATTATATTTTATTTCTTAAGGCGCCAGCAGAACAGCTCCAAAGTCAGTACAGCTCCCAAACGAGGCCCGCTGGTTACTCACTCGCCCAGAGCCTTAGGTGCAGGTGATGGGTAAGTGCGTCTCATCCCTGAGCCCTAATGCTACACTCCCGCCTGGACTGGGAAGAGGAAATAGAAAGTATAAATGGATTCTCTCCTTTGCACTGGTTCCCGCGCCCGCCTGCCCCTTGGTAGCCAGCACTGACTTGGCCAGTTCTGTGTCCCTAGTCCTGGGAGATGTTCAACCCCCAGCATGTCAGCAGGGGGAAGAGGGCAAATTTAATATTCTGAGCTGCACAGCTGATCTTAAAGGTCACTGTGCCCGTGTCATAGGAGTGCAGAAGTTTGGAGCTACACAGAACCTTAGCTTCTATGTAAGCTTCAATTCACAGATGAGAAAATAGTAGCTAAAAACAATAACGAATGTCGACATGCAGGCACCGTGCTGGGTGCTCTGCAGCAATTGTTTCATTTCACTCTCTGACAGCCCTATGAAGGGGGTGTTCTTATTAGGAGGAACCTGAGGCTTTGAGGGATTAAATAACTTGCTACTTTGCTTGTTCAGCTTAAACCAAGTATTTCCTAGTGGCAAAGAATTTCCACCCAGTTCTGCTGATTCTCAGGACACTCTTCTGTCCATTAAAATGACCACAAGTCAGCCAACAGGCATTTAGTAGGCACCTACAATGTATCCGGCACTGTGCTAGGTGCCGAGGGGATTAGTTGGGCTACCAAATGAAATGCAATATAAAATCCTGCCCTTCCAGGCTCCAAGGAGGAAAACTGACTGCTGGGTCTCTGCAAAGCTTTGTCTCTAGGAAGGCCCAAACTCTTGCTAGAGAAGGCCTTATTAATGTCTATAATGCCCCCCAGGAAGTAAGTGCAGGCAGAAGAGAAAGGCGGTCCTACTATGCCTCTCTCACAAATGAGAAAATTGAAGCAGAAATAATTACAGAGCTAGCCCAATACAAGGCAGTGACCAGTGAGGCCAAGAACGGAACTGAACTATCTTGACTCTTTCCACTATATTCACTGGGCAGTCACCTCTGCTCACTGCAGGGTTCAAGGACAGTGATCACTTGAGACAAATTCTTCTGAAAGGAATTATTTTACTAAGCTTACCACAAGCAGTCAGATCTACTCATTTAAATTTCATCCCTTTTCTGTCTCCTCTTCTTAATGTATATAAGCCAGGGCATGCCTGACCTTCAAATGAAAAACGAAGAACTGGCAGGATCAGAGTGGATTCTACTACATCTATATTAAAGTCAAGTTATGAATGAATTGTTCCATAGCAATGCTAATGAAAACGTGACAACTACCACATACTGATCGCCGACTCCGCGCCTGACAGTGTGCTAAGTGCTGTGCACTCGGCCCCACGACAGCACACGCGCAGAGGCAGATCTCTGAAGCTTAACAACGAGTGGGAGGGGCCCTTCCTAAGAAAAAAGAAAATGTCAGATACTGAATTAGGTTCAGGGCTTTGGAAAGACCTGTGCAAGTAAGGAACCCAAAGCTTAAGCCTCATGAGCTTCACAGTAAATTCACCACTGTGCCCAAGATAGCTAATGTCCCACATCCCCCCCCCCTTTATTAACACAAGTAATGAAATTAAGGCTCAGAGAAGTTAAGGAACTTGCCAAAAGTCACAAAGCTTATTAAATGGCAATTCTGGGATTTGAAAACAGGGAATCTGGCTTCAAATCTCACGTACTTTTTCTTTGTGTGGCTTCTAATAAAAATAAAACTGCTGTCATTTATTATGCACTAACTATATTCCAGGAAAATCACACTCATTTTCTTGAATAATCCTTTTAACCTTTCTATATACATTAGCTGTTACTATCCCTATTTACATTTAGATGGAGAAACCATGAATCAAGAAAGATTGAACAACTAGCCCATGGTCACCCAGCTGGTACGTGGCAGAGCCAGGATTCAGGCCCAGGAGTGTTGACCTGCAAAGTCTTACTCTTTCCCACCTTCCCCCAAATACATAGCCCCCTATAGGTAACCCAGGAAAGGGCTGAATGATAATGCCAGACCTCTACTGACTTAAGAATATTCCCAAGTCAGTCCACTGAACTAGTCCTGTCCTATCATTCCATTCACCATATGTGCAGTGCTCCCGAGTGGGGGCTGGGCAGTTCTGAAGGCCCGCTTCCCCTGTGCCATTACCTATCAGCCCGACAGAGACCATTCCGCATGGAGAAAAGCACTTGGAAACACCAACACAAACTCAGGCCCCAGATAGTTGCCTCCCAGCCGCCCCTCCTCCAGTGAAACAGGGACCCACAGAGACTGCAGGGCACTGGGAATGTCACTGTTTCAGGGTTCCCCTGAAACAGGCTTTCAAAATCACACAAGAAAATTCACATATTGACTATAATCGGAGTGCTGAAATCTAGTCACCCAAAGCAGAACTAATATCCTCAAACAAATCTTGCCGTGGATTTGAATTTGGACAGAAGTGAAGAAAGGATTCTTTTTTTTTTCCTCCTCGAATATGAGTGCTCAGGAGAAGTGGTGATCTTTGAGAAGCTCAGATAGTGGGCCTTGTCTGGCCTTGGCAATGTGAACTTTTAAAAAGTAAATTAATTTTTCAAGTAATCAATTACTTTTGGAAACCTCAGTTAGCCTCATTGCCACCTGGAAGAAGACAGCTTTACTCACTGGTGGAGTCCGGTGACTCCAACTGGATTAGGCCTGGGCTTTTTATCTGGTGGAGGGCAAGTGCAAACTTGTGGGAGAAGCCACGCCCGTGGCTACGGGAGCTGGCAGGAAGGGCTCCTCCAGCATGTTTTTTCTTTCTTTAAGGAAAAAGTGATCCCAGTGACTCTCTCTTGTTCCCCTTTTGACACAGCTTGGAGGACCTGGGTGAAAGGGCAGAAGAGATGACCAGTGAAGTCAAGAGATGAGCAAGTGTTCTGGAAGGGCTAGCCCCCAGCCCAGTCATCTGGGGCAGAGACAGATTCGGCTTCCTGCAGAGATCGAAGTGCACCTGTGCCTGAAAACCGCGGCAGTCTGGGGAGAACAGGAATCCATGGAGAGACAAAGCAACACACTGTTGGGACAAGACACAAAGCCGCGAGTTGGCCTTCAGCACAGACCACGCCTGGCTACCCCTGCCCAGCCCCCTTGGAAGGCAGGAACGCAAACCACTTCTCACCCCAGCCCCAACCACTTCAAAGGCTGCAGCGAGCAAACAACACGCTCTGCCTCTTCCGCGGTGTCTTTCTTTGACTTTTCTTTCTTCGTTAAGTGGCAGGGATTGGGGCGCGCGGAGGAGGGAGCAGAGAAAGGCACACGACAGGGCAAAAGTGAAAGGCCCTTGGAAAAGTCAAGATCCATAATCTTGTTATTATAAAGGGACAGAGTAGTCTCTATTTCTCCCCATTCTTCTTGAACGCCCAGGAGGACTCGGAAGAAAGGAGGGCTCTCTGGTCCTGAGGGTTGGCCGAGTGCAGGTTTTCTTTGCACAAGGTTCAGCAGTGGGAGGGTGCGCTGGCACCCCCCCCACACACACACACACACACGCACACACACGAGCGCGCACATACACACACACACGCACACACACGAGCGCGCACACACACACACACACATGCACGCGCACACGCGCGCGCACACACGAGCGCGCACAGCCCGCCCCGCCTCACCTTCTCGATAGTCTGGTCCACGGCCTTCTGGAAGACCCGGGCCACCAGCAGCGCGACGCTGGTCACCAGCAGGAGCAGGGACAGCGTCCCCGCCGCGTAGAAGCAGCACCTGCCCATGCCGCGCCGCTCCCGGGCGGGCCGCGCCGGCGGCCGGGCTGCGCGGGCGGAGGGCGGCGGCCCCGAGGCGCAGGCCTCCCGGTGCACCGAGCAGGCGGGCCGCGCGCCCCGGGTCGCGGCTGTGGTTTCGTCTCCCTCGGCGGCGGCGCAGCCCCGGGGGTGGAGGGAGCGCGCGGGGCGGTGACGCTGGCGGGCGGGCGGGCCGCGGCCCCGGGAGGCGACAGCCGGCGACTGCGCGGGCGCGCGGGCGGGGCGGAGGCTGCGGCCGCGGTCATGTGCCCCGTGGCGGCCGCTGCGATTCGGCCCACGCCCGGCGTGGCCGGTCCCGGGCGGCTCCCAAGTGGCTGCAGCTGTGACCTCGGCAGGCCGGCCGCCCCCGCGCCCCAGCCCTGCGGGTCATCCCGCCGGGCTCGCCGGTCCGGTCCTCACCCCGCAGACACTGCTGCGGCCTGCCCTGGGCCACGAACGGATCTGAGATGCGGGAGGCAGTCCCCTGCTGTGGCGCCCCCAAGCTAGTGGGACACTGTCACAGCGCCGTGACACAACGTAGCGTAGCGAGCGCTGCCACCCGTGCGCGCTGAGACCCCGGCCTGCAAGCCAGTGCTGCCCAGATGACCCGGGACCCCTCAGCTGAACTGAGTCCTGGGGGACATGTCAGGGTTTGTCACGTGGGGGTGTGCAAGACACTCAGGAAGAGGCCTTTCGTGGAAGAACAGCGGGCAAAGGTTCCGGGGGCAAAAGAGCAACACCGAAGGAGGAAACAGGCTTAGGTGTGCGGGGTGTGGACAGGGAGCGTCGACCCTGTGGGGCCGGACTTTGCAGGGCTCTCTGTGACCTGTCCAAGAGCTGGGAGTCGGCAGGAAGCCTAAAGCAGGTAGCACTCAGGTATTTGTCTGCTTTGCTCACCGTCAGGTCCCGCATACCTGGGCCAAGGCCAGAACACTAAGGGCGTCGTAAAAGCGCACCAGACCCTTATTAGGGACTTTCCACACACCCACGCAATGCCCACAGCAGCCCTGTGAACAGGTGCCTGTGTTTGTGCCAGCACTTCAGAGCCAGCGCCAGACAGAGGCACTACCCAGGAGATACTTGAGGGAAACGGACAGGGTGCCGCACCTGGGGTGCAGGTGTGATCATGTGAAGGAACGAGGCTAGGAAGCAAGGTCGGTGGAAGGAAGCACCTGGTACTACAACTATAAAGTCCAGCAAGGCAACTGGGGTGAGGGGGTCTTTGAGCCAAGTGAGCTTGTCCTAGGAATCTGACATCTTTCAGAAATAGGCCTGCCTTAGTGTCCCTGCTGTGCTCAGTCAGGGGCTGGGAGCAGCAGTGGAAAGCTGGTGTCTGCCCAGATGGGGGCAAATACCGGAGGATAGATTCCAGCAGAGCTCAGCAGTCAGTTCTGCTGTCTGCACTGGAAGATCTGAGAAGTACCTTTGCTTGGCCACTGGAGTAGTAATATCCTTATCTTAGCCCAGGAAAACCAGGGCTCAGAGAACTAAGTAACCTAACGAGCTCAGCCAGTTGCTGAGTGGTAGAACCCGCCGGCCTGGATCAGGGTGCAGGGCTGTGGCCTCCAAACTCCTCACTTTTTCTGCTCTGTGCATTGCTCTCTCCCTGCTGTCACTAATGGAAATCTGGGGACAGCAAATCAGTGTGTGTGTGTGGGGGGGGGGTTGTTGAGGATGTGGTGAGACGGTGTGATAGTTTAAGCTTGGTGGCAAATTCTTTCCCACTCTTCCCATTGAGAAATAGGGTTTGTACCATCTCCCCTTGAATTCGGACTGGATTTAGTAATTTGGTAAACCAATAGAGTGTGGTGGAAATGACCATACCCCAGAACTCCTGAAGCTAGATTATAAATGCCTTGCAACTTCTGCCTGGGACTCTGGAAATCCTTGCTCTTGGAGCCCCAACCCACCCCTAAGTTCAGCTACCCTGAACTATCATGCTGTACAGAACGTGGGAGAGAGGTGCCCTCCCAGCTGTCCCTAGCCTTTTGCGTCACGGGCCCCAGACATTATGGAGCAGAGATGAATGGTCCCTGCTGAGCCCTGCCCAAAATGCCAAAGAGAGGATTGTTGTGGTTTTAATCCACCAAATGTTGGTGTAGGGTGTTACTCAGTTATAGATGACTAGAGCAATGGTGAGGGCAGGACTGAGGCTGGGCACTGGTGGTGACTGTGGCTGCCCAATCCTAGCTCAATGCAGCTGTGGCTACCAAAGGTCTTTCAGCAGCAGCTCCAGAAACCAGTCCTGTGTGTGAATGGAACCTGGCAGGGTCCAGAATGACTCAGCTGTCCAAGCCTGGTGGCTAGTATGCCTGGCTTGTCCCCAGTCCTCATGTGCCCACAGTTGCCAGCTTTTCCCTACTCCCAGCCCTGCCCTGGCCTAGGCCTGTTGTGTCCCCGTCTCTGCTTTAGAGTTCAGTTACCTGCCTCCGCCCTGCCCTGTGTCCCCCTCCTAGGCATCGGCTGTGGTCCTGGTACAACTGTGTGTGTTTTCCTTCCCTAACAAGAAAACAAGATGCGGTGACTTGCCCGCCTGGGTGCTTGGCACTCAGAGGCTCATGCTCAAATTGAACCCCACCCCACTCTTGACTACCAAAATCAGATTTCCTGTTTACTGGCTCTATTCTGGACAGCAAACTCCATAGTTACCAGCCCCCTCCAGCCCTGAGCCACCAAGCCCAGGACAATCTTCTCATTGTGCAGTGAAGTCTCTTCTTGCCTCTTGTCTGGGCCATCAGGGCATTAACTGGCTGTGGGTGGACGCGAGGCGGACTGGCTGAGCGCTGTGTCTCGGTGCAGGAGACTTCTGGACAGGGTCCAGCTCAGTTGCTCTCAGTTTACTTTCCCTTTGAGGTTCTCACTCTGTTGTTTCCACTATGTCAGGCAGTTGGTCAAGCTGCTTGCCCTTTAAAACTCAGGACAAGCTGACAAAAACCTCTTTCTTGTTTCCTGTTAGCACAGCTGACCAGATTAGCATGTAAAAATGTATTAACATAAGACAGAACAAAAGAGGCTTAATTGCAAAGAAAAGAAATAACTTTAAGAATGTATGTTCCCCAAAATAGCAGTCTGTGATACCACAGTATCTCTGTCTTATTACAAAGCTGGCACAGCTTTTTAGCCCCTGGCCTGGCTGTCTCCCTATTCAGTTCCATCTTCTCTCCACCCCACGACAACTACTCTCGTGAACTTTTGGCCCAAAGCCCTCCACTTCTGATATAAGCTTCTCCATGCCCCTTGGAACTTCCTCTTCATTTCTGATCTGTAGGGTCTGGGGCAGGAACAGTGGCCAGGGGTTACTGCTCCTACTGTTTAGATGAGGAGGCTGATGCCATGGCAGGGAGACAATCAGAAACTTTCCTGGAGACCACTCTGCTATGGTTTGGGTGTTTGATCTTCTGAATCTCATGCTGTTGAAATTTGATCCCCAATGTTGGTGATGGGGCCTAAGGGGAGATGTTTGGGTCCTGGAGGTGGATCCCTCATGGGTAGAATACTGCCCTCCCCTGGAAGTGAGGTCTCATTATTAGTTATGGGGAGAGCTGGTTGTTAAAAAGAGCCTGACACCTCCCCCACCCTGTGCTTCCTCTCTCGCCATATGATCTTGTACATTGCTGGCTTCCCTTCTGCCTTCTGCCATGAGTAGAAGCAGCCTGAGACCCTCAACAGATGCAGATGCCCAATCTTGAACTTTCCAGCTGACAGAATTGTAAGCCAAATAAACCTTTCCTTTATGAACTACCCAGGCTCAAAACAGGTGTTCTGTTATAGCAACACTAAATGGACTAAGACACAAAACAAGGAGGCTAATGCTGTGGCAGGGAGATAATCAGGAATTTTCCTGGTGACCCCTCTGTCCTTAAAATGGAATACTTTATCTGAGAAGAATGAGCACACTTAAGAATAAAGGGTTGGGCTGGGCGCGGTGGCTCACGCCTGTAATCCTAGCTCTTGGGAGGCTGAGGCGGGCGGATTGCTCAAGGTCAGGAGTTCAAAACCAGCCTGAGCAAGAGCGAGACCCCGTCTCTACTATAAATACAAAGAAATTAATTGGCCAACTGATATATATATAAAAAAATTAGCCGGGCATGGTGGCGCATGCCTGTAGTCCCAGCTACTTGGGAGGCTGAGGCAGAAGGATCGCTCGAGCCCAGGAGTTTGAGGTTGCTGTGAGCTAGGCTGACGCCACAGCACTCACTCTAGCCTGAGCAACAAAGCGAGACTCTGTCTCAAAAAAAAAAAGAATAAAGGGTTGTTGATGCCTGTTGAAATTATACAATCATTCAGAATGCAGAAAGAAGAACTTCCTTCACAGACTATAAGACAGAGCTACCATAGGGAAGCAAGAGGGGTCTTTGGGCTCCACCTTAAATTTAGAATATTGATGTTATACCTAAATGAGTTTTAAAATACAGTCATTGTGTACTTTTATGTTAAGTGTTAATGTGTTAAATGTAAACATTTAAAATACACTATGATCGGCCAGGTGCTGTGGCTCATTCCTGTAATCCTAGCATTCTGGGAGGCCGAGGTAGGAGGACTGCTTGAGCTCAGGAGTTCAAGGCCAGCCTGAGCAAGAGCGAGACCCCATCTCTACTATAAATAGAAAGAAATTAATTGGCCAACCAATATATAGAGAGAAAATTAGCTGGGCATGGTGGCGCATGCCTGTAGTCCAGCTACTTGGGTGGCTGAGGCAGGAGGATTGCTTGAGCCCAGGAGTGTGAGGTTGCAGTGAGCTAGGCTGACGCCACGGCACTCACTCTAGCCTGGACAACAAAGCGAGACTCTGTCTCAAAAAAAAAAAAAATACACCATGATCTTTATAACCCTGTAGGGCAGATAATCTTCAAATATGACTGCCAACACTTCTTCCTATTTTTATAGGCTGATGCTGCTCTTCACATCAAAGGTGGGGGTTACTTCCTCCCTCTTATATCTAGGTTGGCCTTGTGACCTGTTTTGAGTAACGAATATGACAAAACTGTCATACTGTGCCAGTTCTAGGGTTAGACCTAGCAGCCTCTGCCCTTACCTTCTTGGGATCCAGCTGCCATATCAGAAGC